GGTGGGGAACCCTCCTGTCAGGCACTGAGATGAGGTGACAAGGCTCAGGCCTCAGCAAGCACTTAGCAGCCACCCTCTCTGGGGGGGACCCATCACAGGCTGAAGGGAGGGCAGGAAAAGCGGAACCCAAAGGCCTGGGTTCGAGTGAGTGGCCCAGGCAGAACAGGGCCCCTTCCTGTGTGGCGCCGGTGCTCACGGACAGCACAGGTGTCTCTGCACTGTGGGGCCTGGGCAGCAGGACAGTGAGGATCTCGGCAGATGTGGGGGAGCGGGGCCACTCAGGCTGGGGAGATGGGTCTGAGGGCCGGTGGGCTTGAGAAGCACAACAGTCCCAGACTAGGTCACAAGTGACCCCCAAGTCCCACCCACAGGTGTGGTGCTGAGGCCTGAGGGCAGCGTGGGGCTCAGGCTTGACCATGAGCCAGGGTGGGGGTGGGGGTGGGGAGTGGGAACACCTCTGGTGGCCCTGACACGCCTGAAGAAGCCGCACTGAAGCCAGCAGTGAGCCCGCGCACCAACAGATGCACGGGAGCACCCAGGGACACCCACGTGGAAACATGAATGGGGTGGGGGGGAGGGGGCAATGTGCCCAGTTGTGTCCAGGGCCAACAGAGCCAGCAGCAGCCGCGCCCAGGCTGGGGTAAGGCTATCCTGGTGGCAGGAGGCTGCCCCTTACTCCTCACGGGGACAAATTTCAAATGGCCGAAGGCTCTTGCACCCGCAAAGCACAGCCTGCCACCCTTCAGAGAGTGAGGGGCTTGAGGAACGAAATCATAGACCTCCACATAGAAAGCCGAACACACACACACACACACACACACACACACACACACAAGGCTCTTGCACCCGCAAAGCACAGCCTGCCCCCCCCTCCCCCACACACACACACGGAGCCCGGGGCTTGAGACATGTTTATGTCGCACACTGGCCATGCCTGAAGCTGACGGCAGGGGTGGGGAGCACCGATGGCGACAACTGCTCTTTGGTGCAGCAAGGAAGGTGGGCAGGCAGCCAGGAAGCCACAGCGGTGCTGGGCAGGCGGTCCCCGAGGACAAACCTGGACAGGCAGCGAGTGGCCACACCGCACGCAGGAGGCAGGAGGCAGAGATGCCTTTCCTGCTTATCAGATTGGCAGGGGCCCGAAGCAGACGGCAGAGCTGGAGGGAGAGGAGCTGACAGGTGGGCCCTCTGGGGGTGAGCATCATGTCAGTGCCCGTGCCCCTCCACCGGGGCCCGTCCCCAGCCACGCAGCCGAGTGAACGGCCACCACGGGGAGAGAACGTGGAGAGACCTTCACTGTCCAGCAGCAAGGACAGGATAAATGCCCAAGGTCCAGTCCCTTGAGGGCGGACACAGGTCGCACGGGCAGATGAGCCAGCTCCTTGGACCCACGGGGTTCAATCGCCAGCCAGACTGAGGCCCATCATTAGGCAGCGCTGCTGTGCATCTGCCCCCCAAGCGCCCATGGAGGACAGGGCTGCATGGTACCCCAGGGGGCAGGGGGGCACTCCTGCAGACAGGTGCCCAGGGGAGGGTCCCACCATGTAGCCAGGCTCTGCAGCTGCCTGACAGAGGACAAATTCCCCCTCAGATCCCCTGGAGCCGGGTCCAACGGCTTGCCTTTGGGAACCTCCTTTTTTTAACCAGTTAATGCACGACCTGAGTAGGCGCTGCTGGGTTTGTAGCATTCTGCCCCAGGTGTTTTCACTGTGTCGCTGCCTTGATGAAGGCTTCACAAGAAATAACCACTCCTGATAAGGACCTCACTTAGGGCCCCGACTTCAGGGCAGACAGGCTGTAAAGGGGTGGGTCTGAGCTTGGGCTGTCCCAGGGACACTGCCATGAGGGATGGCTGGTGACTTTTGGGAAAGTCAGGACCCAGGGGCCCGGGACCCAGGGACATGCGAGCACCGAGCACCATCTAAGGCATTCCTATGGTAAAAGTCCCACTTTTCAAGGGGGCACTAGAAGGGACACTCCCATTTCCATGGTGACTGCATTCAATTTAAACAACTGCAAAGCCCAGGTAGAATGGGCGCAAGTCCGGCAAGGAGAGGCAGGGGCTTTACAAAGAAAACACAGAGGTCTGGCCAAGGGCATTACCCAGGAGGCCCAGGGAGATGGGGTCAGGGTCACCCTGGAGAGGACAGCAGGGGCGCCTAGTCCCACCTCCAGGGCAGGCAACATCGTGGGTCCTGAGGGTCCTCAGGCAGGACAAGGACAGGCCGTGGTGGGAAGCAGGGTCGAGGTGACCAGCAGTGTGGACAGAAGCCTATGAGGCTACCCCCACCAAAAACCTTCTCTGACAGTACGGAAAGCCATTCGTACTGCTGCGGGGGAGGGGGGGGGCACTTGGGCCCAGGGTCTTGGGGTCAGTGTACACTCACTGGCCAAGATTCCCTGAGACCCTTGTCCCACTGCCAAGTCCAAGGGACATTCCTACAATAATTTCCTTAGCAAGCAGCTGCCTAAGTCTCTGCTGGAAGCAAGTGCCCAGCAGAGCTTGACAAGGGGCCTGGAATGTGGACGGGCTCCAGGGGGCAGGGCCTGCCTGGCCTCCTCCCGTCTCAAGCCTCCTCCGGGGATGCACATGTGTGACAGTGGAGAAAGAGGGGTTGGGGGGTAGTGGGGTAGAGACTGGAGAACAGGAAGGGGCTGTGGGTTCTGGAGGGGCAGGAGAAGCAGCTAGGAGCCAGCACCCTCCACGCGGAACTCTCCGCCTCAGAAAGGTTGGAGGCAGATCCTCAGCCCCTCCACTGGACTTGTTCTCCTTGGGTCCACCCCCTCCCGCCCACCCCCAAGCTGAAGGGCCGTGGAGGCACAGCTTCCAGCCTGCCCGGCATCTCTCAGCCACCACAGCTACTCTTGAGTCAGACAGGGGAGAGGATGCCCACCCACTGACAATCAGTGGCTTGGAGTGACCAAGACCCCACACTCAAATCACAGCCTGGCACCCACCCACACGAGCCTCCCTGGCCGGCCACTTGCCTTCCTCATGGTGAAGTTCTTGTCCCCCAGGAGGTAGGGTGTGATGAAACTCTCGCCGGGCCGTATCTGCGCCATGAAGCCGTAGAAGCAGAGGGAGACCACCAGGACCCGCCAGGACTTGAGCTCCCAGGGCTCAGTGGGATCCAGGGCCGGCTGCTTCGCTGCCTTCTCTGCTGCTGCCGGGCAAGAGGGCACCATGTTGCCGGGAGAGGACAGTCGTGGACACTCAACCTGGAAGGAGACAGGGTGTCAGGCTGCTCCGCCACCACCTGGACACTGCCTTCCACCCCCAGCTTCCTTTCCACGAAGTCTGCCTCCCTCCTGATACCAGGCAAGGACTGAGGCCGAGGAGAGGAGCTGGGGAGAGCCGACTGAGCTCCCGCGGGGTAGGGCTTGGGCAGAAGCACACCCTTAGCGTTAGGGAGGACCGGCCAGTCCACACCCAGACTAGGCTTTTGCTTTTTACGACCCCTGGGGCAGCCAGTCTTTCAGGCACATCCCGCACATCAAAGTGCTCTGGGCCCCAGGGCTTTGTGTGCAGGGGAAGGCTGGCCTCCTTTCTCACTGCCCAGGGCTCTCCGGACAGCCTGATCAGGGCTGCCCCGCTGGCACTGGTCCAGCTCCCAGGTGTGTGCACGTCAGGTGAAACCCTGCACTACCACTGTCGGCAGTCCCTGGGATGTACTGAACTGGCCGGGGAGGGTCTGTCAGGGGACAAGCAGGGGTGGGGTAGGGCAGGAGGCCCGGCAAGGAATGGTGGGGGACACTCCTCAGGCTGGGCATACAAAGCACACGCAGCCACACTGCAGTGGGTCAACACCAGGTGGGCACAGGTATAACCACAGGCCCCCTGAGGCCACAGGGGTCAAATTCCAATCATCAGGCCTGGCGGCCCTGTGGAATAAGCAGATAAGCTTTAGACTGCTAACCTCAAGGTGGGTGCCCACCACCTGCTCCGAGGAAAGGATAAGGCCGTCAGCCGCTGCAAAGAGTTCCGATCTCTGAGACCCGCTAGGTCACTCTAAGTCAGGATCAGCTGAAGGGCGCTGTGTCTGGTTTTCCACACTTCTAACTAAAGAAACAAGAGCCTAGTAACCAGAGCGACACCCTCCTAGCGGGTCTGCAGCTTGTCTGTGGGGCTCAGACGGAACAGGGGTGGCTGTGAGAATTCCAAAGGGCGGGGATGCCTGGGAAGACACTGGGGAAAACGATGGGAGGCATCGGCCCGGATGTTTCCAGATGCTGGGACGGCACCCCTGCCCCTACATCAAAGGCCCAGGAAAGAAAACAAGAAGTCAGCTGAGTGAACGTCCCATCCCCACCTCTGAGAACAAGCGGCCCACAGAGCGATCGGGAAGAGACGCCACTAACCCACACACGGCCGTTGTCATGGACTCTAACGGGGTACGAGAGTAGAAAGCCCAGTCTGTCTCCGGCAGAGTTGCTGGTGGTCTCGAACTGCCGACCATTGGATCACAGCCTAATGCATCACCGCTACACCACCAGGGGGTGGGGGGGCCTGCCTTTCTGGGTCCATGTGACCCAAAACTTCCAGGTGGGAGGCTAACAGCTGGAAGATTACTTTCCGGGGCAGAGACCCTCAAGTCTAGGGCATACAAGTTCCTCTCACAGCGCACACACCTCTGGGCATCTACCCCCTGCCTGCTGGGAGACCACGGTTCTGTCCCAGGACTTCCCCTAAGGTCCTGCCCACTCCAGGGCAAGGTCAGGTATAGGCACTGCTCCCAGGGCTTCACCTCCGCCTCTGAGCAGGAGCTCCAGCCCATGAGCTGAGCAAACCTACGTTCCTGACCCCGCTAAGAACTCCAAGCCTTGTGGTCAAGTCAGAAATGTGAATTAAGCCCCGAGAACTGGGCCCATAACCAGAGGCTTGGTACAACCACCCCACCCCCAAAGCACCTTCCCCCAAGGAATCAAGCCCTAGGGCCCTCACCCTCAGCATCCCCAGGGGCTCCATGACCCAGGACCCCAGCCCCCCACCCCCAAGGATCCAGAAGCAGAGTTCCCTCTCCCACCTTGGCTTCACCCAGTGATCCAGGGTCCCATCCCTCGGTCTCCAGGGAGTCTCAATCCCCCTAACCTCAGGCCTTCATCTCCTGAAGTGGCAGGCACGTCCTTACCTGAGCTCACCCTGTATCTGGTGCAGAGATACCGATCCTGAGGCATCTGTGCAGACTCCCCAAATCATACTCCCCACATCCTGGAGCTCACACCTTCCCCTGCTAGGGAGCCTGCTGGGAACACTCGGGGTATGGGCCTGCCTCAGTGGTGGGGAAGCTCAGGTCAGCCCAGGACCCTGCACTTAAACACTGTTCCCAGCTTCCCACCTGTCAGGAGAACTCATTCCCAGACTGGGCTGACCCCAGAGGCCCTCCCAGCCCAGCAGAGCTCCCCACAGAGATGGCCACCTGAGGTTCAGCTCCAGTCCTGAGTCCTGAGGGCTGTGCACGCATCCTGTCCCTGCCGAAGTTGAACCTTCTTCAGCGCCTTCACAAATCCAAGTCCAACACCGACCTGACGATAAAGCCTTTAGGTGTACAGGTGGCCCCAGGTGCCCTTTGATCTCAGGCCGGGGAGTCCCCAGGGGGATGATCTGCACCCCGGGAAGTTGTTCTCCGAGACATTTACAACACTTTCTGCTGCTGACTCCTGAGCCACCCCTAAGAGAACACCTACAGTGAGAGACACACCGAGCCTGGGGCTATGGGAGGAGCCTGGCCGCCCTGGAGTCCAGGCCAACTGCGCATGGGCCAACTCCACATGGAATGCAGGTCAAAGGTGCAGTATTTCTGAAACCCTTTAGCACTGGCCACTAATGAGAAAAATCGTACATACCGAAGTACTCAACAGACTTGTGTCTGCAAGCTCACGGCAATGGGCAGGCCTCCAGGTATGAGGGCTGGGGCAGGGGCCCATCCACAGCCACCACTTGGGCCTGGGAGATGAGGCTCAAAGAAAAGTGCATCTACCTACCAAGGTCAAGGTCCAGGGTGCTCGGGTAGGCTGGCAGGCACTGTGATTCACTTGCCTTTGTGGTCTTTTTCTCTCCCAAGGGGTGAACTCAGTCACACACACTGAGTGCGGCCAGCGGACACACTGCCCTGACTTCCTATAGTCTGCCCTGTTCTCTGAGCACACAGCAGTGCCCCAGGACAACAGAAGCAGAAGGAAGCTGCCCAGCCATGATCGCACAGCTGAGGATGCAAAGCTGAGGATACAGGCCCAAGTGAGAGCCCAAGCTCTAACAGGTGAGGCCCAGGGCCGGGATGGGAGTCCCAGGGTCCTGACCCCATACCATATGGATCCCCCAGGCTTCTTATGGGCCCTTGGAAGAAGTCCTTGGTTAAACAAAGGCCACTCAAAAGGAAGTAGCCTGCGGGTCTGCCTTCAGGAGTTGAATTGAACGATTTCTCCCCTGTCCCAGGTGTGCTCTTTAATACACCCAGAGTATTTGATGAACAAGAGTAAGCTGCTCCCTTAGTGCTCTCCTTCCAGAGCTGGTAAAGCCTGCAGACTTCAAAAACAAAACCAACTCCCTTGTTTGGTGCCTTTCAACAGGAGAAGGTTAATGACGTTTTTTAAACATCTACTAGTCAAACAATAAACAGAAAATTAGTTTTAAATGCCACACTCTTGTGGTGCAGTGGTTACGTACGGGGCTGCGATACACATGGCTGGCAGTTCAAAATCACCAGTAGCTCCTCTAGAGAAAGACTAGGCTTTCCACTTCCATAAAGTTAGCTTCAGAAGCCCAGAAGGCGTCGCTGAGTCAGCATTGACTCAGTGGCTGTGAGTTACCATGCCCCTGCGGCCAGGAGTTCTGGCAGCATGGTGGTTTGTTGGGAGCCAGCCCTAGCAGACATTCTCAAGGTCCTTCAAACAGTGACCGGCCCTAGTGGAAAATTACTGGCAGGTGGTTATGCCTTAAAAGATATCTTAGTCACCAAAGCTTCCTTGTTCTATGAAAATGTCTGAGACAGTTTGCAGTCTGTGTTACCCTCCGTCTCCCCCCGAAGTGTTCTTTGACCATTGTGCATCTGTAACTGTTCTGCAGCCACGTGACCTTGGTTGGTTATCCTCCCCACTCTTCACCCATTGGTTGAAATACTAAGCACTCATTGGACTACAGACGTACCATATTGAGAATATGATGGATAGCCGATTGGTTAACATTCTTATGCTTCATTATAATAATACATGTTGGATTGGATACTGTGCAGCACACCTTATTAGAATATGCACCTCCCAGTTCCTCTTTATATTCCCCTAACTTTGCCCAAATAAACGAGCTTGATCAGCATTTGTCTTGCTCCCCGTCTCCGTGTCTTTCTTTCCATCCAGGTTCGTCTTTCCCCCCAGGGTCCTGCTCGTGCGTCCCGCTGGCCGGGACGCATCAGTGGTTACCTGTTGGGCTGCTATGAAGTTCAAAACCACCAGGCACTCCTGGGAGAAAGACAGGGCTTCCCACTGCTAGAAAGAATTACTGTCTCGGAAACCCACAAGTTACGGTAAATTGAGTCTGGATCTAAAATAAGAATAGTAGAAGGGATGACAGGATGTGCCCAAGCGTGTGCAAATGTCAGCCTTACTGCAAAATATTCCGCTATTGTACACCGTACATAGCTTTTAGAAAAACCACATGCTGGTCCAAGCAGCTTTGGGGGGGAAAAAACTGCAAACTAAAGATAATGTAAAGTTCTCTTTACATTTACTAAAGATAATGTAAAGTCTCTTTACATTTACTAAAGATAATGTAAAGTCCACACTCGGTACTCGACGTCTGGTGTGGTCCCTCAGCCTTGAGTCTGGGTTTGAACCCAATGAACCTCTTAAAGCTGTACTCGGTCTCTGCGCATTTTGTTTATTCATCAACCTGCTTACAACAAACCCTCAGGGAACTCACCATTCTACCCTGTCCTGTAGGGTCGCCTATGAGTCAGCATCTATGCAATGGCAGTGAGTTTGGTATCCTCTGTGCCCAGATGAATGAATTCTCCAAGTGTTCCTAAAGGTAGACATTAAACCTCTGGCCATCACGGTAGAGGCAGGAAAGCCATAGTCCAGCCACTGAGCACCTCTTCGCTGGTCACCTTTGTCTAGAAACAGTTCAATCACTACTTGGTGTCACCGAACCCCCACCCCACCTGTGAGAGCAAGCCAGCAAGTAGGCTGTCCAGACAGCAGCCCATGTGGGAGTGTCCCCCTCTGCCCATGGTGGTCCCTGGACTTGAAAGGGCAGGGAGCTTACCACTGAGACAGAGATTCCTCTGTTCAGCTTCTTCAGGCTAGGTGAACTGTTGCAGGTTGCTAGGGGTAACTGGGCTGGCAGGGGTTTTCTCTGCTCACTTCCTTACAGGTCAGCCCAGCACAGCATCAAGAGCTTCTACAATCCCTCATTTGGGGAAGTTTCCTCGAAAGTGGGTCTGGATTTCCAAGCCAGCTAGATTCTCCTGCACCCTAACCCTCTCACCAGGTCGCTCAGCGGTTCTCTCAGAATTAGCGTGGTCATTTCTCTCCTACACTTTAAGATGGTTTCCTGCTCTTGAGAACTTGTAAGGGCCAAGAGGGAAAAGGTTCACGGGCAGCAGCCCAGGCTGGGTAATGCCTCTGTGGACTGGCTCGGCTTGACTAGTTAGGAGAGGGGTGGTCACTGGGCACCTACAAGGCCGGAGGGGAACGCAGACCAATGGGTCTCCAGCGAGGGCAAGGGAGCGCTCGAAATGCTCAGCCCCAGTCTTCTGGTCCGCCCGAAATGACAACACTATCACCTCGCCACTGCAGCACCGGGAAGGCCCCGGCTGCACGTGGCTCCGTGGACCTGGTGTAAAGGGGAGCGCCGTGGGGTGCCAGGGGCCGAAGATACCGGGTAAAGTGGGGGTGCTCAGCGCTCCCACTGCAGGGCAGGGAAGGTACCGAGGGAAACCGACCACACCATTATGGTTCCAAATGTGCATGGACCGGAAGCGATAGAGAACTGCAGCGGCGGGTGAGAGGCGGCGGCGGCGGCGGCAGTCCCGGTCCCTAAGGGGGTGCCGCACGCGCCCGAAGGTCACAGGTACAAACTTGCGCCCAAGGTGGCACCCTCGCCTGTGCACACTCCACACTCACCCTGGGACCCTGAAGCCGCATCCCTTAAACACCCTGTACCCCCACACGTGCCGCCCTGCGCCTCCTCCCCGGGTACCTGGGCACCTTGGCCCGCGCTCGGCGGCCTGTCCCCGAGCTTCCGAGCACTGGCATCACGCGCTCGGAGGGACTACCAAGCCCACAAGGCTGCACGGTGGCACGCGCAGGCGCCTCAGGGTGGGGCGGGGCCACTCCGCTTCGATCCCGCCCCGTTCCTGAAGAGCTGCCCCCTGGGGTCCGCGGCTGTGGGTCCCCTCGTGAGACCAGCGCAGGGCCTTTGGTGTCCCCGCCTCGCGATCACGGTGCGCCGAGGGCTCTCCTCGCTCCCCACCACGGGCCTCGCGGCTGGGGGCGCCGCCGGCTCGGCCGCGGACTGAGACCCTTTCCGGGGTCTCGGAGCGGGCGCGGCCGCTAGCCCCGCCCCCAGGGAGCGCGGTGCGCGTGCGCGTGCGCGTGCGCGCGGCCGCGCCGCTCCCGCCCGGGCCGCCTGGCCGAGCTGGTTTCCCCTTGGAGCCCGGCACGCTTACCCGACGACTGTCTTGGACCCCAACGCAGCGCTCTCCAAAATGTAGTCGTGGCGGGGCTCGCTGCCCCCGGCGTGCGGTGACCGGCCCGCCCTCGGCCCGCCCCTTGGGTGCCCGCTGGCGCCTGGCCTCCGTGGGAGCTCTAAACTTAACGAGTCCCCGAGCGCTGTGTGTGTGTGTGTGTGCGCGCTCAGTTTTAAAGTTTCTTTCCTGGTTAACCTTGAAGTATTGTACTATGGAACCGTGGTGGCATAGTGTTGGACTGCTAAGTGCAAGGTTCGAAACCACCAGCCGCTCTCCGGGTTAAAGAGGAGGCTTTCTAAAGAAGAGCCTTTCAGTCCCGAAACTCACATGAATCGGCACCGACTCAATGACAGTGAGTTTTTGGAGTGACTTAGGCAGGGGTCCCTGTGCCTGGTGGCAAGGTCCATGAGCGCTTTATTTTATTTTTTCACACTTTCATTGGTATATAATTTCACATACCATACAATTCAAAAGTTCGATCACGTTGAGAAGAGTTGTACAGTCATCAGCACAATCAGTGTTAGAACACTGTCTTCATTTTGTACACCCCGTTGTCAGCTCCCGGTTCCCCAACCTCACCCAGTCAACCTCTCCTGCCAGACCCCCAAAGGACTACTGATCCGGTTACTGTCTCTATTGATATACCTATCCTGGATTTCATATATAAACCTTTTTTTTAAATTAACGTAACAAAGTAAAACTGATAAAACCTCAACCGAACAGAAAGCAGAAAATATTAAAAACTAGAACAAATGTAAAGTGCATCAGAAGGAAGATCAAATGATGCAGTGTTCCATTTTAACCTAACTGCATCTTCAGTAATCCACTTCCCAGTGCAGTCTGCATGACAGCAAGGCTATTCCCATGGCTGGTCAGAGGCTTCATGTGAGTGTATTTCCCAGGGGTGCTGCAATGCACAGTGCAATCGGTGGCACTCCATGTGCCTGCAGGGGGAACTGCACTTCTGGCCAGCTCACCCTTTTATAGGAGCAGGGACAGGAAGGCACTCCCCCAGCCAAGGGCCCACTGGTGCTTTCCTGACACCCTGGTCACTTCCTGGTCTGACCACGAACCAATCTGCTGCTTCTGCAGAGGAGCTGGAAGCTGAAGGGCTGAGGGGCTGGCTTGATCACTTGGCAGCACAGGGGTGACCACTCACCCCAGGTGCCCAGCCCAGGAAGCGTGATCGAGAGAGAAACACCCTTGTAGGTTTCTGTCTCCACGGAAGTTCCCAGTAGAAAGATCTCTGGAAAAGCCACCAATGACCAGCCACCCATAGTCCTATGGAGGGGAACAGGTAGGGGTGACCCTGGTCCCCTGGAATGAGAAGATCGGTTAGGAAAGCAGACAGGTGAGGAGGGCTCTGACCAGTGTTGGAATTCAGCCAATTCACACTGCTTTGGCAGAACCGCTACCCAATTTTTTGTTGAGTTTGGCAAACGGGTTGTTAAAATGGCACTTGTAATCAGAGTTCTCTCTAAGGTGAATGGCTGCCCATCTGGCCGATGTGGAAATCACAGATTTACGTTCCTTTCTCCTTTTTAACGTTCATCTGTGCTACAGTATGTTCTAAGCGCCCGTCGTCATGTTCATCCCACCCTTCCAAACCAGAAAAACAAACCAACACGCAAAAACCCTCACTGCCATCAAGTCAATGCTGACTCATTGCGACCCCCTGTGGGTTTCCCAGACTCTGTTTATGGGAGTAGAAAGCCCAGCTCCTGAGGAGCTGCTGGTGGTTTTAAACTGCCGACCACAGCCCAGCACATAACCACTAAACATCCAGGGATCATTCAGGCCTTATGTATAAAAACATTAGATGGAACTATGCTTGTAATATTTATTTATTCGTTTCCTAAGCCTCATTGTACTTCAGTGAACACACATAACATACAAAGTAAAAGTGTCCAACAACCGAGAATGACACTGTTGTTCGCTTTGTGTTACACCCCAATTTCATGAGATGCTATGAGTGAATTATATAATTCCTGAAAGTGTTCAGAGAGCTAAAAATATTGTTAGAACCATTTCTGTAAATTCAGCCTAAGTGGAAAGGGGTTTTTCAAAGATGAACATAATATGTTCAGAGAAGAGCCGTCGCCTGTTTCTAATACATCAAACCCTGACTATTGCCTAAGGGACCTGCCTCTAAAGAAATGGGATCCTACTACAACAGTGAAAAGATGGTTAAGAATAAATCACAAAGCCGATGATGATCTCATAAAAGCGAAGAATATTACAGGTGAGGACACCAATCAAGAAGCAATATGGAAATCTATAGAGACAGAAACTGGATTACTGGTTCCTTGTGGGGTGGCAGGGGAGGTTTGGAGGGAAATGGAGAATTAATAATGAGCATAAGAATGAAGAAAATGTTCTACAACTGATTGTGGTGATGATTATACCACTCTTCTTGATGTGATTGAACTATTGACTTGTATGATAAGTGAATTAGATGCCAGTAAAATTGTTGGAAAAAAATAAAATATTTAAAGAAGAAAAGCAATATAGAAATAACTTCTTTTGTGACCTTAAATAATTATTTTTATCATAAACAATATATTTAGCTGTTTTTATCAGGTATTATTTAATATTTCTTTCTTAATATTTTAAGCCTCTTATAAAAGTCTAGTTCTTAGTTAAGTATTAACTATATGAAATAACAAACTACCTTTCTGCATATCATTTTGTTATACTTAAAACCGCCATTAGGCCGTGAACCGGTTGTTCCATTGTTTGAATCCCCCGCTGGCTCTGACACACAGTGGCCTCCTGCACAGCAAAAGGTAGCTAGCTCAGCCTCGCACCGTCTTCAGGGTCCCTGGTAGATTAGAGTCCAGCCTTGTGGCTGTTGTACCAAGTCCCCTCATGGAGGGTTTCCTTTGTTTTCACTGACCTTCTGCTACACCAGGCATGTTGTCCTTTCCTAGAAAATGGCCTTTATGGATGCCATGGCCAAAGTCAGCTAGCTGAAGTCTTGCCATTCTCCCTTCTGAGGAAGATTCGGAAGAAGGTAAAGTGACCTGCTGCCCAGGCTCAGGCTGCTTGCTAAGTTATCTGCTGTTTTCAAAGTTTTTCTTGAGCGAGGGATGAAGAGAGGCTCTGGCTCTGTGGCCATGTTGGATCTCTCTGCGACAAATTCTTGTCCTGAAATTTGCCTTTGGCTATCCTTGTGCATCAATGAAAGGATGGATAATCCAGTAGCTGCTACTGGAAAATATGGAAGTTCTTTACGTGTTGATATGGGAACATCCTCAAAATGTAGGAGTGGGAAAAGCAAGGCACAGAGCATTGTATGGAGTCAGCTGGCACTTCTGTAAAAAGGGGAGAGGGATGTACATTTGTGGAGGGCCTCCCTGGCTTGATGGCAGACTTCTTTAAAAAAAATTATTTTAGTTGTGAATTAGGTGGGGTTTACATTTCAGATCACTGATTTTATATTTAAGCTACTTATCAACCCCTCCATTAACTTACCCTTCCCCCCTCCCCTTTGATTTGTCTTCCTCTCTTTGGTTTATGGTCTTCAGTGGTAGAATTCTTGTCTCCCATACAGAAGACCTAGTTCGACTTCCTGGCCAATGTACCTCCAGTACAACTACCACCTGTCTGTCCGTGGAGGCTTGCTTGGGGGCTATTATGAAGCCGAGCCGTGACAGTGGTCCTTCCAGAACTAGGGGGAAAAGCCTGATTATCTGTTTCTGAATAGCAGCCCGTGAAGCCCAATGGGTCAAAGCAGATTGGCCCACAACCACGCATGGGCGATGGAGCATTTTCATCTCGTTGTACGTGGGCGCTGAGGGCACCTGCTTGACCCTAGGCTCTCCATTCCTACAGCCAGTCCTCCTGGGTCTTTCTGCATCAGGACCACACTCTCCATGAAAAACAAGCCAAGGAAACGGTCACCGTGCATTTAGTCCGACAGATAGTCCATTGTCTTAAAAACAACACTACTTGTTGCATTTTCATGACTGCCATGTGGACCTTTTAGATCAAACCGGGAGAAATAAACCTTGAGGACATAGGGTTATCTCAACCAGAATCGTCCTCCTGATTGTTTAAGTTGCCCCCTGAAAATTTTATTGTTTCCCCCACAGATGCGTTCTGTGTGTTTCTCGTTTCCCCCACAGATGTGTTCTGCGTGCTTCTCGTTTG